TTAATAGCAACAGTAGTTTTTGGTCAGATTTGTGTTAATTTTGTGTAGCCCTAGTACTAATTTCTACATAGGACGGGTATAAAATTTAGTACGCCTATAGGCGTACTTCCTTACTCCTATTAAGGGATAAGGCTCTTTTTCCTCGGCCACAAGGGCCTCGGAAAAGGAGCCTCATAGGAAAATTTTAGAGCAGCTCACTTGCCTCGGAGTCGGTTTTGGTGGCACGTGCTGTCCCTATCTAAAAAGAAAATCTTCGGCGCGCGCCTCGGATTTTCTTTTAGATAGGGACAGCACGTGCCACCAAAATCAGAGGACGATTGTTACTTTTAGTAGTAACTGATGATAGTCATTCTCAGGTAAAGAATTGGCATTTTGTGACTTTTGAGTTGACATAATTCGTTTTTATTGTCGTATTTAACGGTTCCGTACCGTAAGTTCAGTACTGAACTTCGTATTCTACTACAGTAGAAGGATTTTTTACTGAAATGAAGTCGATGACTTTCTTCGTTAGTCCAAATACTTCTAGAAGATACCGTTCAGTGGGGTACCGTACTCACTCTACGAAAATGGTACAGGAACATTAATACGCAGTACGTTTTTAGTTCTAGTAGTAGAAGTAGTATTTAGCAGTTTTGTTATCCATCGTCACCCTCCAACCAAGGGTGTCGTACTCATCGTCTTACCCAACGTTGAACGCGGACACGAGTGATCCACTTGAGAATTTCCCCCCCAATATTCGAGCACTGGGAGAAACGCAAATATTGCAATTTGAGTCGATTGCTGGCAAAAGGCACGGGAGACGCGACCCAAGGAAAAAGATTCCGAGAATAGGGGAGATTCCGCCGGACTTTTTGCAATGAAATTCATTAAGAAGAAGAAACCGTCCGGAGACGAGGAGGAGGAAGTGGAGCCGAAGCCAAAAAAGGAGACGAAGTCAAAGAAAGAGAAAGCGAAGAAGCCAAAAGCACCAAAGGAGGCAGAGGAGCCGCCAAGCGCCGACGTCGAAGCCGCCAAACCAAAGAAAAGCAAGAAACCAAAAGAACGAAAGGAACCGAAAAAGACTCCAAGCACCAGGGGAAAAACGTCGAAAAAAAATGAAAGCACCAAGGAAAAACCATCCAAGGAATCCAAAAAAGAAAAGAAGGAACGAGCTCCCACAGCACGAATGAGCCTGGCGTTCGCGTCGGCACCCTCGGACGACGACCACCCCGCGCCTGGAGTGGGGGGCGATCTCATCCCGGACCAGATCGCCGCCATCAAACAAATCCTGGGAATCCGAACGCCGGCGCAGCTCGAAAAATTCAAGGCACTGTTCACACCGGAAGAAATCGCGAGGGTCAAGGAAGGTCTGAGTGATCCGAATAAACGCAAAAAGTTGAAGGCTAACAAGTCGGGGTCGGATCCCAACGTAGGATTTGCAAAGTACAACGGAGGACCCCAGGCCTTTGGTGGATTGGACCCCTCAAAATGGAGACTCCAGAGATATCGATTTAACGGCAAATCCAAGTGCGAGGTGACTGGTGAACTCGAGGAGGTTCACGCCCCCGTAAAGGACGGCATCATTCACTTTTTGACCTCCCCAATCCAATACCTTGCGATGATGTTTCAGTCGAACATCATGAAATTCGATCCGTCGCGACAAAAGTATACCCTGCTCCACAGGTCGGGCACGTACCAGTATCGTCCGCAGGATACCACGGACCCCGATGGACCAGAACCTAAGGGAGCATATACGTTGCTCTTGTGGACGTACGTGCAGCTGCCGCCGTTTCCAAACGACGTGTTGCCGATGAAGTTTCGCGACAAGTACACCGACGACATGACGTACCAGGGGCAGCAGCTCCACTCAGACGACAGCCTTCCCATCATGCCGGGCCGCGGGATGGGGATTGGCGATGCGCCAAACCTGTGCGTCATTCGTGACGTCGATCCGACCGACGTTTACMAGGGCACCGTTGCCGATTGCTGGTTGCTGGGTGCCATCTCCAGCCTGGCCGAGTTTGATGGTGCCATCAAGTATTTATTTCGCAAGACAAAACTCTTGCACAAGCGCCCCCTCCCCGGTCCAAACATGTACACGATTACGCTCACCGATCTCTCTACGTGGAAACCGGTGAGCTACGAAATCGACGAACGACTGCCAGTGAAGGGCGACAAATCGGGCAAATTGCTAGCGTGTCGTCTGAGTGGTTATGGGGAATTGTGGCCAGCTTTGCTGGAAAAAGCAATGGCAATTCACTGTGGAGGGTGGGATGCAATATATGGTACGTTTATTCACAATGAATTATAACAAAGTATTTGGATGATTCGGCAGATTCAGAATCTATAGTATATCTTGATCACATAGTCAAAGATCAAACCAACCGAGACAAACAGTTTTTGTTTCGGTTTTTCGATATATAGTTTGCTAACATTATCTTTCCAACCAAACCTGTACTCGAAGGTGGCTGTTGTACCCATGCGTGGTCCATCCTGACCGGATGCAGGGAATGTTATGAGATAACACGCAACCCAAAAAACGGCAAGTTTTTTTGTCTGACAAAGTTCAACCCTTCCACACGCAAATGGGAAAAGCACTACAACAATCCAAAAGAAGATCCTGGGCACAACCTCTGGAAATCTGATTGGCCTGAGGTTGGCGGCGGTGGATCGGGTAAGTAATGGACTATACTTCGTGCTGCTTGCGAATCATACTTGTGATTGTTCGATCCCACACACTTGTCCTATTCTCATAACTGGTAACCTTTCCCATGGTGTTTGTTGCATCGGATCAGGAGAAATTACCGAGGATGATTTGTTCGAACGCATCTGCAAGTGGGATGCAACGAATTATATAATGTCTGCAGCTACAACCGGAGCAGGTGGAAGAAGCTCCATCGGGCAAGACTCGGGATTGGTAGCAGACCACGCCTATTCTGTTGTCGCAGCCTACAGTGATGTCGCTGGGACTGGCCGTGGTCTCGTCAACGTGCGGAATCCTTGGGGTACTGGTGAAATAGACGACGGTGAGTTTGATGACGACGGTCCGGGTTGGGAGGAATACCCAGAAATCAAGGAAGAACTGAAACCAGTATTTCAAGACGATGGAGCATTCTGGGTCAGCAAGGACGAATTTTTTAGATTTTATCAAACCTTCTACCTCTGTGCCTCTGACATGACAAAATTTGTGGAAGGTTGATACAGTAAGTAGTAGTAAGGTCAGAATCCAGGATAACTCCTCATCCATACTTCTACTGATGAGTTGGCACCTAGCTAGACCATAAACATTTTTTCTGTTTCCTTTCAGCAATAAATAAAATAGTATGGATCACTCAGATGAATATTTAAATTTATTTTGGTGTACAACATCACGAGGCTACCTATATTGAGTGTTCTCTGGAAATTGCAAGGAAGTTAAACATTATATGCTAGTGGTTTTTTCTCGTGGGCATTCTGCCAGAATTTTTGGTTCTTAGCAATGATATAGTTGCACAACCAAGTCCCTGCTGAGCAGCCGGAAATAGGGTGAGGCGTAGGGGTGTGAAAACTTTGGGAATGTGATGGTTGTGTATGTAAATTGATGCCTTGAATATATTAGTTGTGCTTCAGGTAAACTTATGGATTTTGAATTTACACTATGCTGTGTAACATAACAATTGAATGTAGTAAGTGATAGTGGAAAACACATGATGAAATGTCCAAACATTATTTCTTTCCCCTGTACTGTTTTACTGGGTGACTATTGCAGTAAAGGTTTCAACAGTGGTACTGCCAGTATGCATCTTTTTGGGACAAGAATGCTCAGTAGTAGAGCAAGTAAAGTTCTCTGTACTAAAGAAACACTTTTGCAAATCATTTAATCTTGTTGGCCATCAGGTGCAAAAAGTCTAGTTCTTAAATGACTGGTGGGTAGGACCCTTGGCACCATCAATTAAATAGTTGAACCCAAAAAATAATCCATTTGATAGACCATTTGAACCCCATAACTTGTGCAGCTCTAATATTGGGAACAACCCACCATGTAAGTATCATTTGCTGGTTGGGTTAAGAACAGTCCACAAGAAGATGCATTCAAATTGCCCAAATATTGAGTTTATATCAACAGAGATTGTCCAACTCAGAAAGTTCTTGCTATTGAACTGCAGAGAATTTTCTTACATTAAATCTGCAGCAATCTGATTATAAAGTCACACTATGGTGGGTTTGTGGTGTGCCAGATTGTGACCAGAAAATAACCAAATTTGTTTACTACTAGTACTATGGTGGTATCTCCATGTCTTATGCCTTGTATGCAGTCTACTGGTATTGACTGCTAAATTCAAACCCCATGCACTTAACTGCCCCCTGAATCCCCCTCCTGGAGCAACAATTCAGAATTCAGGGAATTTTTTCCATACCATGAACTACTAGGATGCTTCAACGTCCCATTTCTCTGTGGTGGTGGCAGCAATAAGAAGTACTATTCCCTGCCTACCTAAACTACTTTTACAGAGCCTGATTCTGGGGGTTGCAACATGGAGGGCCCAAAGGAATATTCTGCCAGTATTGATTGACTCCAGTCATCTGCTGCAGTAACCCCCCTCCCCCCCAACACACATACATCTCTACTACCCCACTTAGTTCCTGCTCAAGCACCTTGGTTGCATCCTGGAGAAGTCAATGGTCAAATGTCTTGCTGAAAACCAGGATATTGTTGCTGGAGTACTAGTGCTACTACTATGCAGCAGTGGAAGTTGAATTATTCCTCACTCCTGAGAAATGGCACTGGAAGTAGTAGTAGTACTGCACCACCACTGCCCATGTAGTAATATGCACCAGCACATCTCTTCTATGTAGCCAGCTGCCACAAAGAGAAAATCTACAAGAGGAGGAAAAAATGTCAATTGTTCTAGCATGATGGCACCTCTAGCTAGCAGGAGGGTTGGTAATATCCTTGAGTGGGAACTCAAGAACAAAGTCCCAAACCTCTGGTGTAAACTTCACTGCAACAAGAATAAGCTCTTTTCTACTACTACTAGTAGTACTAGTAGTACTCTGGTTCTCTTGTGTGAGCCTACCCAGCAAAATAAAAATATCAGGGCCTCCACTACTAGTATATCATCATGGTTAGGGGTGCATACTACTACTACTACTACTACTACTACTACTACTACTACTACTACTACTACTACTACTACTACTACTACTACTACTACTACTACTACTACTACTANTACTACTACTACTACTACTACTACTACTACTACTACTACTACTACTACTACTACTACTACTACTACTACTACTACTACTACTACTACTACTAGTTACTAGTATAATCCTCCTGCCCACCACGACCAACAAGAGGAGCAGCACCACTGCGCTGGTTTTGGTGTTTCTTCCTCTGCTGCTGTTCTCCAATTAAATCAAATCCCACTTTTGCAGCACCATAAAACATCTCTCCTATTTGTGACGAGCAATAAGAAGTAGTAAAGTACTACTGTACTCTAAAAACAGACCAGGCCCACAACCTTCCACAGTACTATTTCTAATTGGACAGCAGCAGCACTACGATTACTACAATACAATACGGGAAGAAGGAACTGCTGAACGAAGGTCGAACACTCGAGAGCCCTGAGCTCTTGAACTCCGATTCGATCACCACTCAAATTTTGGATCGCGTGTCATGTCACGCACCAAGAACGATAAAACTTCACAATTTGTGTACTGACACCGAAATCAGAGCGGCGATTGATGATCGATCATCCGTAGCGGCATCAAATCCAAGCCCTTTTCGTCTCGTTTCCTCTAGCCAAAGCCTGGCGTCTGTCTAGCTACTTCAAAACAAGCCAGTATTACACACTCTTTAAATACCTTCATTTCCGCAACAGAAATAGGATTTCCTTGTACAGCATGATTCACATACCAGTGCAGTCGTCGATGTCTTTGCTGCTGGTAATGCTGTTACAATTAGACTCCAAAAATAGTCTTGTTGGCGCTACAACTGCATCGCAATCCTCCCAGACACATACAATACCATCGTCGCACCAAATATTTAAGGCGCACTTCATCGATGACACCTATCTGCCCTCTCATTCTTCGAAGTCCTTGCTTTGGGTAGCTCGGATCTTGGGTGATCTCCGTGGTGGTGGCGCAGGAGATGAATACGACGAAGACGAATCGTACGATGTATACGACGATTATGACGAATACGATTCCGATGAAGAAGATCTAGAAGAAGAGACTCCGATTCAGAGAGGCGATAGAAATAGGAAGGGGGGATACGATCATTCTATGATTGATCCATCGCGTCCCCGACCGCGGCAGCGACCCCCATCTGGTTACCACGCGAACGATTTCCGCAGAGGAAAGAAGGGATCTTCTTCTCTGTCGAGTGCCACAAACGCTGCTTCGGCAGCAACAAAACTCGCAACGAAATCCTTGTCTGTGACGGGATCCTTAGCGTGGAATGCGCTTGTGAAACAGCCGGGAAAACTTGCCTTTCACGTAATTAGGCCGAAACATGTCGATCTCGTAGAAACATTTGGGCTTTGGAGACTCGATCAACAAGTCGTTGAGAAAAGCAACAAGGGTGGAGGTGATCAGAGAACCATCGCAAGCGTTGCAACCATAGAGTTGGCCAGGCCTCCACCACCATCGAGAGGAAGCACAGGACAGTCGAAACGTGGTTCACGCCATCGTTCTGGTCCGCCCCCACCCCCTATCGTTATTCTTCGTCGAAGCAAAAGTGGTGAGAACGACGATAATGAGGGCAAAGACAATGACATTGTTTACCGAGCCCCGTTCACATTTGTTCGGAAGAACAAGTATCTGAAGGGCGCGAGCTTGTCATCTTTTCAAACATCGTTTGTGGCGCCGGCATTCTTGGTTGGTGAAAACCAAACTCGTCTTTACGGGTACAAAGGATCATGGCAACGAAAATTGGCAGATAAATCTGTCATAAAACTAAAGGGTAAGATCTATCAAGTGCACAAACAGAAATTTGGTAAAAAACGAGGTTCATATGTTTATGGACCAGCGGTTGGGACATTTGTGATGAGACGGCGGATCTCCATGTCGGAGGAAGAGGAGGAGGATTACGATGATGATTTGGACTCTGACGAGTTCGAATACGACAACGATAGCGATGAAGAGTATTCGGAAGCAGAAGGCGATGAGTATGACTAGAAAAAAATAATAATCCTAGAAGTTTGCAATCGCAACAAGGAAAAAAAACAATCGAAAAAGAAGCAACTCCTTTCCTTCACAATTTGCATAAAAACTCAACAACGTGTTAAAACTATGAATATCCAACCGTTAGTAAACCTAACCAAACGACTTCTGGCGCAATCAATCATTCATAAATAGGTATCCGAAGGTACCAGCAGCGCGAAGAGGAATGTTGAGAGTGAATACTGTTGGTGAGTTTGAATACGTGGAATACTTTTTTTCGATACTTTTCATCTGTTCGTTTCAATCCAACCTAGTTAGATTTTTGATAACTTCGATACGTTGCAATTCTCCATTTCTGTAGTATCCCTAGGAATCAAGGAACTAACAGGGTTTCCAGTTTCCACGGTTGTCCAACGGATTATGGGTTACTGAATGTAGGTACCGTACGTACTAAAAGCTCTAATGATGAAAGAGAACATACGTACAGTGCTCTCCGGATCGAGGGAAGGAGTAGTAAATCAGGCTACTCTAGACTTTGTTTTCATGCTGATGATGGTTGATGAGCTGAGGTAAGTCTATTTGTTGCTCATAACCTGCAAATGTACGTATACTCCTTAGTGCCACATAAAGGGATGTTTACATTAAAGAGTGAGGTTGAGCCTATTGCTCACTCACTATTTACTCGTGATTTAGGTTGTACGTGTATTACTGGCTCACAATACCCATACCGCACGGTAGTACTCGTACTCGTACATTAAAACATAGTACGAAGTTGAGGAAAGTAAGTGAAGTTTGTACGTACCAGGTACGAGTACTCGGTACTCGAACGTACCGGTATGGCTTCTCGTTACTGTATTATTTTGTGACAGTATATAAACGTAAAATATGCTTTCCTTTGAAATGTCGTGCAAAAACAGGAGCAATGGTGGTTCGAGTCCCCGGCGGCACAAGGTCCTTTGCCTGACTGATTACAAGATCTCATGCATTTTTCCTGAGATCTCTGCGATCAGGCATCTACCCTGGACCACTGCATTCTTTACAACCAACCCCTTGTGGGTACTTTTCTTTTTTACATGAGTTTTGACTACAGACAGAGTAACCAAATCCAATGCTAGTGGTAGTATCTCAGTTTGTCATTTCTACTAGAAAAATACAAAGTGTTTTGGTCAGAAAAGTCATGAAAAGAGCCTTTTTCCAAAAATTAAATTTTATACTAGTAGTAGTAGTACTAGTACTACTACTACTAGTACTAGTAGTGCTATCTGTAGGACATCAGATCGTAGGTATGATTCATATCTACAACACATACGTATGACAAGTATCTATGTGCACGAGATTACGTGTACTCTTAGTAGGTGTTAAGTGTGTATGAAAATTGAA